CATCCTCAGGAATTATAAGTTTTTACTCAAATTAGTTATAAAGATTATTTAAAATATTAAAGCTATTATAATCTAAAGGAGATATTATTGTTGGAAAAGATTTTATTTTTCCATCTATTCATTTAAATTAAAACCTTGAACAAATTATTTATTTGAACTATAATAATGAACAGTTTAAGTAAATATTCAATTAAATAATTCATTGAATGTAATCATAAATTATATAATGGGTAAATTTATAATAATAATTCTAGGAATAATAGATTTAACAATCTAAACTTCTATTAAACATTAGAAACAATATAAATTTAGTTCAAGAATTAATAAATAATAACACTTAAACTATTACCTTTTACAATATTTCAAGTGAAACATATATTTGACCATTTATATAATTTTGAAGTTTATTAGAATTAAACTATTTCTAATTATTTCATTATGTTAAAACAAAACTTGATTAGTAAGGAGCATGATTTTTTTGGTAATGCTATTTACAGAAACTTCAACCTTAATACTCCTTAATTGCCGTATCAAACTTTCTAACTAAAATTTCAATAAATAACAATAGGCATTTGAACGCTTATTCTCTCTAATTATATATTTTAAGGATATTACAATAGAGATGGTACATTAGTATTATTTGAATGATGGATATCTAGACTAAAAAGATAGTGATAGGGATAATTATTATTCTTATAATTATAAAAATCAATTTAATTGATATATTCAATAATTAAATTAAGGTGGAAATTATTAATCTAGTTCTTCGAGTTTTGATGGTAAAAGTTCTTTTTCAATAAAATGGATCCTAATCTAATATTGACTTTTAACATTATAATAGATAATACAGAAGAAAATAAATAGTTTTAATTAAATTTTATTTATTCTTCAGAATATTTTCTCAAAAAAATCATAAGACTAGTATTTAATCACTTCCTCTTTAAACGATAATTGTAATCATCTAAAAAATTTATAAAGTCTTCTTAATTTGAATTTTTTCATCCAAGTCTCTACACAAGAGATTAAAATTTATTCTTTATTATATAAGGATTAAATACTTGTAATTATTGATAATTATACAACTTTTATTGATTTAAAAGTAAAGATATTTCCTTTTAACTTGATTTGGTTAAGGTTCAAAATGTTGGAATAAATTTAACTTATTAGATTTTTAACTATGAATGTATGACATTAAAAATATTTAAGTTTCTTCAGTGTAAACAAACAATTTGAAAATTAATTATAATATATTTCAATTTTGTATGATTGGTGAAATGCCTTTAGGATTTTAGACAAGGTAAACTTTTCCTTATAAAATTTAATTCATCTAATTTTCTAAAAACATTAATAAATATTACCAATATATTTAAATTTTATAAATGGGAATAACTTGTTTAAAAAAAAAAAATGTGTAATTGGAATAGAAATAGGATAAATCATTAAAGGAAAGTAATTTGAAAAGTGCTGAATTATATGAGCCAAAAATGGGTTAAAATGAAAATAAGTAGATCAACTAATATCATGAATTTAAAATTTGGAACTTTTAATAAAATAGATGGCTTTAACTAAAAAGCTTCCAAGTAAATTTTACACTAGAAAATTAAATTAAATACATTTATAATGGAGAAATACTTAGAATGTAAATAATTTAAATAAAATAACTTAGAGAAGAATAGAAAGCTTAGATAGGGAGAACTGAAGTTTTAACTAATTTAGAATAAATCAAATTTCTTTAATGGCGAGGAGATTATGGCAAGAATCTTAAAAAAAATGGAAGATGGACAGCTTTTTGGAAATCAAAACAACTAAAAAAAGTTGGTGGATATTACTTAGAGGATGGGTCTAAACAAGGTTTGTGGAAAGAAATAATGAAGAATTATTGTAGGTGAATATTAAAATAAAATAATAGCCAATGCAAGATATTTGAGATGGGAGAATATTAAAAGAATTAAAAAATTGGACAATGGGATTATATATATAAGAAGAGGAAGATGTATTTTATTGAGTTAACCAATTAGAGGTGGTGGATTATATAATGAGTAAGCTTAGAAGAATGGTAAATGGATAGAATTAATTAATGGATTTCATGAAAATAGATTAGTAACCTTAAGGTGCGAATATAAAAATGGGAAAAAAGTTGGTATTGAGGATATTTGGTACGAAGATCATGGGAATATTTTAAATTAATAGATGTATGAAAAAATTATGTAGTTTATATGATATTCTGTGTGTGTTTGTTTTTCTAGTGGTTGCGGATTGTATTGTGAAGAGGTTTGATGATTAAGTAGGGTAATTGGATGGAATGCTTAGATGGATAATTTTCTTCTAGATTAATGAATTATGGTTAATATAAGAATGGTAAAAAAGTAGGGAGTTGGGATATTTTGTATAAAAATAAAAAGATGTAAAAATAAATTATATTGTCTTCATAATTTCCTTGTTTTTGTATATTAGTGGTGGTGGATAATATGATGAAGGAGGAAATGAATATAAGTTGGGCGATTGGGTGGAAATATCAGATGAATATAATGATTAGTCTAAAGAAATGTTTTTTGGGGCTTATGACAATGGTAAAAAGGTTGGTGTATGGAATATTTTATATATAAATGAATGGAAGTAAAAATATATTATTTAGTTACAATCATAATATAATTCAAAAAATAGTAAAATTAGTAGAGGTGAATTATATGATATAATTAAGGATGGGATGTGGGATGGTTTGCAGGATGAGTTTAAAGATATAATATAACTAATTCATAAGGGCGAATATAACAATGGTAAGAAAGTTGGTTAATGGGATATTTTTTTGAATTGGAATGGTTAATAAAAAATGTAATACTTTAATATAAAGTGATGATAGTGGCGGTGGATCATATGAGAATGGAGTTAAATTTGGTAATTGGATTGATTTAGATTGCTCTTTTGAAATTAATAAATAAGTAACTTATACAGGATAATATAATGATGGTTTTAAAGATGGTATTTGAGATATTAATTTTAGGAGATAGAAATTTATTTAATTCTAACAAATGTAAAAATGTTCTATAAAAGTGAA